CAACACTCCTCATAATATGAACCATATGCTCAGATCTTTTCAAGCTTAATGGGGTACACTAAATCTAAAATAATTTTCACATTTTCCTCAGAAGTTAATGGCTTATCTGAACACAGAATTTGACACTACCGGTCAAAGGTTTGAAATATTGTAATTTTTGAAATTTTAATTTAAGATTTGAAAGAAGTCTGTTATGCTCACCAAGGCTGCATTTATTTGATCAAAAATAAAGCAAAAGCAGTAATATTGTGAAATATAATTCAAATCATTACAATTATTAAAATAAATACACACACACACACACACACATATACATATGTGTATATATATATATATATATATATATATATATTCTAATATGCTGCTTTAGAGATCAAGAAACATTTCTTAATATCTCAATATTATTAATGTTAAAAACAATTGTGCTGATTAATATTTTTACGTGTGTGATTTAAAAGTTTAGGTTAGGGTTATGTAAGATAAAAAAAAAGAAAATAAATCAAAACTTTTATTTAACAAGGATGCCTTAAATTGGTCAAGTGACAGTAAATACATTTATCATGTTACAAAAGATTTCTGTTTCAAAAAATGCTGTTAATTGAACTTTCTATTTATCAAATAAGCCTGAAAAAAAAACATGGTTTCCACAAAAATATTCAGCAGAAAAAACACTGATAATAATAAGAACATTATTAATATTTGTACATCATGATTTGTGAAGAATCATGTGAAACAGAATAATGGCTGCTGAAAATTCAGAAATAAATTACATTTTAAAATATATTAAAACAGAATACAGTAATTTTCAAATTGTAATAATATTTCACAATATCACTGTTTTTACTGTATGTTTGATCAAATAAATGCAGCCTTGTTGAGCATAAGAGCCTTTGTTTAAAAAAATCGTAATTATCCAAACCTTTGACTGATAGTGTATAAGCAAATCTGTCGCTCTAATGCCCCTCTGCTCAAGGCTGCTGCACCCCTTACCATGAGGTCCAGCATGCCATTCTTCAGAATGAAGTTGTTAGTTCCCTCAATGGTGTCTCGGTCCTCTAGCGATGTGTAGTTGATGCAGGAGTCTGTCAGACTTCGGGGAAGGTTGGAGCAGGCCAGCGGCTCACATGGCATCTCAGGAATGGGAATGGGGTTACACAGTTTCTTTATGTGCTCTGTGAAGAAATCTGTGTAGCCTACATTAAAGGAAGCCACGGTTGTGTTAAATGTAGCCATGGTGATGGTAGAGATCTGGGAACGAACTGTGAAAGAAAGAAGTCAATGAGTCAAAATCACCATCAAAACATTATCAGGAAAATACTGAATTACATTATTTTTCTAAAATGTTCAGTGAACCCACTAGCACCCCATTGTGACCCTTATTTTGAAAACCCATTGTATTTTATTAATCTTTATTAATTTCATGAAACATTAACTGTAATAGATTTAGAATTAATAGTGTAATAGTGCTACTAATTTGCTTACCACCCTCTTTGATGGTATTGTCACTGTGACTGTTGGAATGTTCAGGCAAGTTGTGGTGGGAGTGAAAATGTTTAGCTCCAAGACTGTCCACATCTCCAGCAGTATCTGAGCTTCCACGGCGTGTCAACTTCCCTTCAACACAACAAAACACAGCCACAATATGACAATAATCTGAAACTAATCTCATACAAGCGCAAGCTATTTGTGAATACATAATTTGTATGGGCAGGGCTGATGGATTAAACCATAAAGCACAGAATCCAGAAAAATTCAAACAAAATTTGGGAAAAATAAAATAGAATTTGCGAAAAGGGCCCTATTACTTGTTAAAATGTTTAATACATTATTAACATTATTCAATTGTTAAAGTTTTATCAAAGTTTTTTGATGATTCACAATTATAGCATTAAAACAAAACAAAAAAATGTAAATAAAAAACACAGAATATGGGAAAAATTTCATAGGGTCCTATATACCCATGATAGTGGAAGGCCAACCCCCGCGGTCCAGAGTGCGACGGTCATCTCCCAGTCCAGAGAAGCTTCCGAATGAGAAGGTGCTGCGTGTGGGTGAGACATCAAGGTGATCCTCATGCATCAGGAAAGGTATGCCCATTCGACGCTGGCGTTTCTTCCCAGTATAGTGGAATGGGATAGAGCCTTTTCTCTCTCTATCTTCTCTACGGTTCTTAAACTGAAATAAAAAATAAATAAACAGGGATAGAATAAAACAAGTGCATAGTGGCATAGTGAAAGTTAAAGTCCGCATGAAATCAAAATGGACTTTATTTACTTTACTAGCGCACATTGCTGGTCTTGATGTGAACAATTAATCCATGCAAGTTAATGCTCTGAAAAAAATTGTTTGTCTTGGTAATCTTTAATCAAAATCTGAACATTTACTTCCGCTCTGGAATTGCATTCCTTCTCTGATGACGTCAGTTTGACGGCTTGGGCAGAATATCCTTAAACACACCCCTCCAACCATTAGTTTGCTATGAGTGAGAGATGAGAGGAGGAGCGCAAAAATAAAACCACGCTATTCTCAATATTCCGTTTCAGCTGGAAATACGTCACTTCACTGAAATAAAGTCAGCAGCAACTTCCAGTTCACGCGGACTTTAAATGTCAAGAAAATTAAGAAAAGGTAACCTTGCATGTGATATCAAGGTTTTGCAAAAACTAAAATATATCATATTGGTTTACTGTCTGAAACTATGCATAAAAAATAATCTGCATACCTTTTTGAATATGTTCATGCCCATCTCAGTTGAGAGGTCAGGGACTGCTTGTCTCCTGAGGTTGGTAAATGACACTTTGGAGAAGGTCTCAGAGCTCAAAGACCTGCTTTCCTCATTACATTTTTGAGTCATATCCTTAGAGAAATGGGAAAGAAAAAAAAAATCAGGGTATCAGCATTGTTACAAAAAAACTATGACTTATGATGGTTAAAATGTTGAATAATACTATTTCAGTTCATTACACATCTTTTAAAGTAGCAATGGCACATCCTGATCCTTAATCCTGCGTTATGGCCATACAGTCATTTAATCTAAACCTAAGGTTTCAAGCCTACTAATTAAAAAAGTAACCATTGACGGCACTCTGATCTTGTATAATGAACTTTATCTTGTCCAAAATGAACATAACTGCGAGATTGCTCAGTCATCTCTATTACTCATTAGTGGTGCCATCTTTGGATCATTATTTCTGGAGAGGCGAAATCAGTCAAATGCCAAGTCCAACATGGGGGCACATACAAAATATCTAGTAATTTTGTATCAAGCAAAAATGCATTTAAACCATTCACATTGACTGGCCTTATTATCTCACACAACACAATTCATCAACAAAATATTGTAACTGAATAACTGAATATCATTCGTGTCAGGGTTATTTTCTGTTTTGATTTAATTTGCACTGTGTTTCTGTTCCTGTTTGCCTGTGTTCCTTATCCTTTTTCGTTTCCATAGTTACCCATAAGTTCCCACACCTGCTCTGTTTTAACTTGATCACGTTCCTGTTATATAAGCCCTGTTTCTTCAGTTTCTTTGTTCGTTCTCATCAGTGCATTTCTCCTATCATTTCCTGAATGTTCTTTGTGGATTTATTAAGACTGTTTGTTACTTATCTCCATCGTTGTGTGCTTTATTACAGCCACCATAGCGTGACAATAAGTACCATATCTGTAGTTTTTCATTTTTTTTATTTATTTATTATTTTTTATCAGTATGGGTTTATATTGGACACATATTGTCTGACGTTAGATATGAAATTGTGCATGTAAATTTCCCTTTATTTTTACATTAAGATTACCTTTACCATTATGTTACACTTAATCTTTAAAAATACAATCCAAAATGCAGTGTTAGGAAGTTTTAGAATACTTTCTTACTGTTACTGTAGCACTGAAATGGATGTTTATATTTTTTAGTCAAATTATCCAGATTGTTTGGAATTTAAATATCGGTCATATACCGATATACAACAATAACATTAAATAATAATCTGCTTATTTATATAAATATCTACTGGACTTTTAATATCTATGCATCCTTGATGACAGTTACATGGCTTCCACTTAATACACAGTATATTGCTGTTGTCATGTGTATGTAATGTACAAAGAGTTTATTTTATGGTAAAACTGTATCATAATTTTAAATGAATTTATGATCATGGAATATATTTCAAAACCTGGCCCTACCAGAACCTCATACAGATATGCCACTGCCCATTACCATCTGAAGCTGCTATGTAAAAACACAGTGTCTCACATCATTTAACTGACATAGGCTTGCTACCTGTGTTTTGTGAGTATTAACCAAACAAGGGGTGGCAGCCACCATGGAACTACTGCGGGGTCGCGGTAAGGGGGGTATCAGGGGCTCAGGGGGCCGTTCAGGCTTCTCCTGCAGTATCTGACGCAGTCGTTGCAGGTAGTATATGAGGGCCCAGTGCACACCTTCTTCTGTCCAGTGAGGCTGCATCAAGCAACGCAGCACTGCAACATCAAAATAGGTGGCATATCTTGCTCGCTGTGATACAGAGATGCCAACAGGGACTGAGAAACTTTCAGTGAAAGAAAGAGAGAGAGAGAGAGACTTGTTACAAAAAATGATGGTCAGAAAGAATGGATGTTCAGACTGAGTTTGCTCAGAATCGCACAGACTAACACTGTGACAGATGGGAGTCTGACGGGAACTGGACACTATTTCTCTAGCCAACACTGGATGAGTTTAAAGAAAAAAATCTTTAAAGTCATTCTAGCTTTAAAAGATTGTAATAGATACATTTTTGCCAACACTTTACAATAAGGTTCAATTTGTTAACATTAGTTAATATGTTATAATATTGTTGTAATAATGAACTAACAATGAACAACAATTTTTACAGCATTTATTAATTCATGTTCACTACTAATGTTCATTTATAGAAATATATGTTAAAAATGTATTTGCATATATAGAAATTAATATTAACTAAAAAATATAATTGCTGTAAAAGTATTTTTCATTATTATTTCATGATAGCTACTGCATTAACTAATAAATTAACATATGGAACCTTATTATAAAATTGTACAATTTATGTCAGAGTGAAACAACCAGGTCTTAATATGATATTTTTTGTAAATACTTAAAATGTTTATGGCCTGCTGTGAGGACCCTCCCTTCTCTACAGAGTTGCCACGGCGACAGCTCTGACCTGTCGCTGAGGGGGAGGAGGAGTCTGGCCGGACTGATTCACAAACCACCTGAAAGCCGAGATAGAAGAGGAAATCACATGACCCCAGCTGAACAATGATGTTAATGCACTACGAGAGGAAATTAATTTATATATGCCAGGACTAAATGAGCCAGAAGGGGCTGTGCAGCTGCAAATCAGTCTGAATACTCACTGCAGGGCATGGGTTGCTGGTATCATGAGGACTACACTGGTTATTCACTAGAGAATTCCTCTTTGCTGTGTAGAATATAACAGAGAGACAGCAGATGTGAAAAACATGAACGATTTACACACATAAAGAACAATGAGCAAAGATGGAATTGTATATTGGGTTTAACGTTGGTAAAACAGACCAAAAATAATATTGTTGTTCAGAAAAGAGGCAATAGAAGAACCGTAAAAAATAAGTGAATTTACAGAAATCTGACCTGTAATAATGTTACGCATGGGTTTGACAAGGGCAGAAAAAGCAGGAACATCAGGATGACGGTGCTCCCACATTGGCTGCCAAATAACAAGTCCACCAGCTAGTCGAAAGGTGAGGTCAGACTCCTGCCAAATGCAAAATCATCAATAATTTTTTTTTTAAATATTTATTTATTTTTGCAGTTTAAGCAAATTAATCAATTATTGATTGCAATATAAAAAAGCACATGCACAGCCATAACAATTTTGAACTGATAAAGTAGGGCTCAACAATAAGAATTTCAAGATTTTCCTAAAATTTTCATCGGCCCCACCACAAAAAAGTATTAATTTTTATTTTGATATTTGCTAGAAATATTTATATTTTTCAGTAATTATTAGGTTTCATTTTTCATCACTAAAATGTTTAAATGATTAAATAATTATAATAAAAGAATAATATAATTATTATAATAAAACAATAATAATCAGAATGTTTCATTTTAATTTATATAAAAATAAAATGTACAACAAGCTGGAAATTATACAGCTGTAATGAAACTCCATAAATTAATTAACACGCTTCTGCTATAACCTCATCTATGTTTGTCAGCTAGATAAGATTATCTAGTGAAAAATCAGAAGAATTTACAACAACAATGTAGAATAGATAGTGGAGAACTAAGGCATTAAAATGAATACACAATATCAATGATGTAAAATTTTCAGTGGTAATGCAGCAACTTCCATGAGCTCTCTCACACTGGCCTTGGGGCAGCAGGACATCTGTATTGTTGAGCCCTGCAGAGAAAAAAAAAAATAAATACCAACAGTAAAAGTATCAACCTTGATCCGGCTAATGAGAGGGGCAAAGAGAAAGACAAAGCGGCGGTTCGAGAGAAGGATGGCAGTGCAGTGGAGAACATGAGGCAGAGCAGCCTGGACCAGCTCCCAGCGAGAGATGCTCTGGATGGCTTCAGTGAGGGCTGGAGAGAGCCCGTGGAGTTTGTTCTCCACCAGCACCCGCTCAAATGACTAGGCAGGATAAAAGACATATCCTCAAGAACACTTATCAAATGATTTCTTCCTCTTGTTACAGTGTTATTTGTACACAAGAAAGGAAACATGATATAGGCCTAATAGCATGACTGTCAGTCATATGGCACAATAATAATAATGATAATAAATTATGATGTATTTTTTTATTATGTACAGAATTGTATGCAAATTGTTTTTTATTTCTTACTGGAAAAAACTCTGTGGCTGTCAATAGAACAAAATATTCACAAAATAATAATAAAAAAAACAGTTAGGAGGATACACACTGTAAATGTTTAATTTTAACAGTAAAGTAAAAGTGCTCAAGTAAAAACCTGTTAATTGATTAATGGTTCTATTATATATGGTGAACAACTGTAATAAATCTAACAGAGCATTTAAAAGGTAATATAATGTTAAATTTACAGTTTTTAAATGAAAAAGTAGTCATCTTATAATTTACAGTGGAAAAAATTTAAATTGAAATTCCCAGAATTCCCTGTGTAACACTTCATTGAAATAATCGTTTATTCTTAGTTCTTTCTTATCAGTTATGTACATTAAGGTTTTATGTCACATCTTATGTTGTTAAATTAATGTTTATTGAATTATTTTAATGTCATGTGTGTTACCATTATGGCGTTTTGTATTTGAGTGCACAATTTTTTTTTGTTCAAATAGGTTGGTATATTAATATTATATAATTTAATCATATATAGGTGTACATGAACCTCGGATTTAGGCTTATAGTTTTCTGTGATAAAGGAAAGATTATTCACAGGTGAAGGCGTTCACTTATGATTATTAATAATACACTCACCACACAGGAGGCTTCATACTGCTTCCCTAACTTCGGCCGCAAAAACGCGCTGTAATAGATACATTTTTCATTTAGTTACATATCACAAAACTGCATAAAAGAACAGTCATAATCGAGCCGGCAAGGACACTGTGTGTCACAACATGGTTTTATGAAATTGAATTATGACGAGCTCTGGTTAAGGCACTTGACAGCACGATTGCTCTATGAAGGTGAAATATTCGACAGAATATTCCGCAAATTTTGTTCAGGGTTTCATTGTAAGACACACAAGGTGCGGCGGTGTGTGAAAAGATGACGCACGAGACAGCAGCGCAACAGAAAGCGCATTCAGAGACAGGTATGAGAGATGCATACGAATGAGAAACGCTCTGCGGGAGCCATATACGAGAGGAAAGACTAACCACTCGCAGAAAACACCTGTTATGCCACGACTAAATCACTGACCTGGTCTGTCTCCATAGGAAGGTTTGGATCGGAAACGGGATCCCCCGGCAGTTTTCCTGGTCGCTGTCATCCAAGCTCTTTCTTTTAACCATTTTTGACCTGCAGACGGGCTGCTCAGAGATGGATTTGATTCACGGCATCACCGGAATATTTTACATCGGAGCGTAAAATGGCTGCAGGTGTTGACTTGTCTCGACACCACCCCGTGGAGCAGCGCTGAAAGACCGAATCCGCTTGTCAATTAAGGGACATTGACCGCCGGTTTGAAGATACGGCTTCAAATACGTAATCAATAAGATGGAGCGACGGACCCCCTCTGGGTCTTAAAAGCTCGAGATTCGCGAATATTTCAGTGTAACAATTAATACTACGTTATTAGTTCCCAAATCGACTATTACGCCACAATAACACAGCTACTACAGGCATGTTACAGTAATAAAATAAAACATAAAAAAAATAATAATGTATGGGACCTCATTTTAACCATGTTTTAATTTTCTTTCCTGTCTTTAGATTTGATGGTAACACTTTACAATAAGGTTCCATTAGTTCATGTTAGTTAACTAACAGGAGGAAACAATGAACAATACATTTATTACAATATTTATTCATCTTTGTTAATGTTAGTTAATGAAAATAGGACAGTCGTTCATTGTTAGTTCATGTTAATTCACAGTGCATGAACTAATGTTAACAAGCACAACTTTTGATTTTAATAATGCATTAGTAAATGTTGAAATTAACATTAACTAAGATTAATAAATGCTGTAGAAGTATTGTTCATGTTAACTAAAGTAGTTAACTAATGAACCTTATTGTATAGTTATTATATGATTAGCTATTACACCAGATAGATTAGACTGAATCCACATGGTTTGGAGTTTGGTTATATCTATCCAACATCAACAATTTATATTTAATTTTGGAATGGACATGCCAGCAATGGCATTACAGTTCTATCACAATAAAGAAGTTGTATATTTACTTAAAAAGGCCATGTGCTACAAAGTATTAAATGAGAAACTTGAAGCAAATGTTACAAAATTAGCTGGAAATACAGATCGTCTCTACATTTTAAAATTTTTCTTTCTTTTTTTCTTTCATTCACAGTGCTGGATAACACCAAATTTCCAAAATGCAGTGTAGTAACAATATCTGTAGCAAACATTTTTAATGCAAACTATGGTTACCATACCATATGTACAATTCATTTATGCAAGAACAAAAGTGTAATAAACAACACAACTACACTGTAAGTGCATGGTCAATGTAATTACACTGCAACAAAAAATGTGATCCTTTCATATAACAAAAATGTATTTAAACTCTCTTCTGGAGTTTATGGCTGCTACAGTAGCCATAAACATAAATTTATGGCTAGTTGCATAAATTGAGGTTCATAACAGTAAACCAGTATCATCTCAGTCCTTATTTAATAACACATCAGACAAGAATACAAGTTAATGGTCATACTCTAAAAGCATAAACAAATGTGATGTATTCAGTTTCATCAATCTGGGAAGAAAAAAAAAGTTTGATATGTTTTATTATATTCTGTTTTCCCACATACACATCTTGATCAGATGTCAAATCTTTTCTCAACACATTTATAGAATAGTTATGGTCTTATTAATTCAGATTTTCCATCTGAATTTCAGGCCAACTGAATGGAATAATTCAATATAAATTCATAGTCTATTCCTAACAAGCCCAAATAAAACATAGGCCTATATATACTTTTTATAATTATATTGCATAATTCACATGCATCTATTTTATTGTGATTTTTTTTGTCTGCCTGCCCTATTATAATAATATTGTCACAATGCCTACATTTGCACAATATTTGATGGAGTATTTCACATTAATGACACATAAAAAAATTAATTTAAAAATGATGTCAGATGTGCTTTATGTAGTTTGCAACATCATCAGATGACAGTGGACTTCTTGCTCCAGGTAGGGGGGTCATCTTACCCCAGTAATGGAACAAGAGGAGTTTACATTTTGTGATTTAACAACTAGATTATCAAATGTTTCCATTTAATTTATCAAAATATATTTAAATATATTTTACGATGCATCCTCCTGTACATTCTAAACCCATTTACAAATGTGCTTGTTTCTATTTTGCAGTAAATGCATCTTCTGTAATCTTCCTATACATTTGGGAAAAGTGTTCAGTTACAGTACATAACTCCTGATTGATTCTTGATTAAAAAATAAATAACCAAACATAAAATACACTGTCATTTCAGCATTGAAGGCAAGAATTTAGTTCCAAAACACAATGAAAAATAATTTCAAAAACACTTTATTATATTTGTTCTCTCTATAACCATACACATTATCAAATTATGATCATATGAATGCAGTGGAATGAATATGTATTGAACCCATCAAATGGTAGCAGCAAGTTAGTTACTTTTAAGGAATTGAAAAATGTATTTTTGTAAGCTTTTTAGTTATGTTTTGTGGCATTTAAACAAATGAGGGAAACTAAAATCATACAGAATGAATTTAGTGAGTCAATGTTTATTAATCTCTACATTTTAAAATGTAAGGGTGTTTACATTTGCAAATGACAACTTAATTCTACAAATTCAAGTAGTTATAAAAAAAAACTGAACTGATAATAACTTTTTTTAATTGGAGTAGGGATTTAATAAAATCTAGTCATTCAGGGTACTATTGGAATCATATTACTCTTTATACTACTGAAACAAAAAACAAAAAAAAAAAATAGCACACACATTTGAAGTCTCTTAAATCAGCCATCCTCCCTGAGCAGTCTCTCACAAACATAAAAACACAATCTCCGGGCCACATTCGCATGCTAAGGACTGTAAATTATAGGGATCTGTGTGTCCAAGACACCACAGTAAAAGAACCTTCGGTAATCTGAGATGAGCAAGATTAAATATGTCCGAAAAACTTCGGCGACCCCAGGCGAGGTTGTTTTTATGATAGGATTTTATGTTCAGACCAACATGGTCTTACGTGCTGTCTGACACTGGACGCTTGTGAGATCTGAATGCAGTGACTGGCTTGGCCTTCATACTAGGACATACTGAGGTCTCATGTACGTCTCGTCTTTGGCCTTTTTGATTGGCGCTTGGCTTCATCCACAGGGAGTCCATCCGCGCTTGTCTGAGCAAGTCCTCGAACACCCTGGATCTGACTGACCAGCTGCAGAAGAAGTGGGATCACCTGGGAAAGACACAATATCATTAATGTCTTAAGAACTGCAGCTATTGTAAATGTCAAGAATCTCTAAGTGGCTTTCAACTATTTTCAAAGAAAAAGCAATAGGTACCCGCTCATGATTATAGACAGCAAGCAACAGCAGTAATGTCAGAGGAAGGGCGATGAAAGATCCCTGGGCAACATCTTGATCTGGTATTTTCCTCTGTGGAAAGCCAAACAAATTCATTCAAATTAAATCCCAGAGCTTGGGCTTTAAAAGACAATAATTAATAATATTTTCAATGTATTCAGCTGCACTGACACTATTGATTGCGAACAAGATTTGAACTAAATTGAGCTGCATAAAGATACTGTTACCTTCTGTATAGCAGAATTAAACTTGTTTCATAATTTATTAACTTTGCAACACTGACACTGTTATCGAACCGAAACAACACTGAACTGAATGATGATACCATTGTCTTCCGAGTTGCTTTACAGTTGTTAAATGATGAATTCTGCAACATTAACACTGTTATTTTCCTGTTTGCTACTGCGCAACCGCTTTGACACAATCTGTATTGTATAAAGTGCTATATAAATACATGTGAATTGTCTTGAGAATATCATAACTTAATTTTATATCAAAGTCATACTCATGAACGGCTTTCTGAATGCAGAATTTAGATCCTTCTCACACCAAATGTCAAACAAACGCCGATGAATGATCTATTCACACAAATCTTACTGGTCAGCACAATTTGATCACTGGAAAAAGAAAAAAAAAAATGTAATTGATGTTTTGTGTGAAAAGGTTCTTACCTTAGGGTTAAAGGTTAGTGTTACATGTTTGTGGTAACCAGAAGACGTGAACGAGACTTGTGGGAGTTTGAAGTCATACTGGGATTGAGAAAGTGATGTGTGCAGAATCAACACATAGCTCTGCAAGAAGACAATAAAATTGAATTAATAAATGAAAATGTCTGACCACCCATTTTTAAGATGTACTTAAAAATCAAAGTACTGGCAGATTAATATGAATACTGTAAAACAGATTATAAAAATTGGAGTTGTTTAGAGGAAAAGAGGTGATTAACATGGGTCTACCTCTCCATCACGTGGCAGGGGGGCAAAGTGGAAGAACATGGACTGGCCAAGAGACACACTCTGAATGGGATTGTCAAGGTTGTCACTCTTGCAGAGCTTCACCTTTAGAGAAGGAGGAACAACAATGACTTCAATATTTCATCAAATATGAGAAACCATTTTAAAGGAGTATATAAGTTACTGCACCTACCCAGAGAGTGGGAAGATGCTCAGAGGAAGTGATGACATTGCCACTCAGATCAAACTGATTGATCTGTCTGAAGGCTATTATGTTTATTCCTTCAATATCAGTGTTGCCCACCTAAACCATCCAAAAATAAATACATGAATAGAAACTTCAAATAAAATGTGTAAAAAAAACAATAAGGCAAATAAAACTTCAATGCTCACCTTGATGGTTTTGTGTGGCGGTAACGCTCTCTCAATGTGATCATTTCCCTCTCCTCTCAGCTGAATGTTGTAGTTACACCCAGGCTGACATTGATCATGAAGGAAAGACAAGCTTTGTTTAGGATCTTAAAACGTATGCTCTTGTGAACTTTTCATATTGTTTGTCTAAGAGTTTACTCTTGTGAAGTCTCACCCGCAAGCCTCTGAGTCTAAAGCGGCCCTCTTCGTCAGTAACCGTGTCCTCACTGTACATGCCGCACTCTCCCTGCCCCACTGCCTCCACAGCGACACCCTGCTCCGCATCGCCTCCTATTGACTGCACTGTTCCATAGCAGCTGAGACACATCAAAATGCACAAACAGAAAATTTACCCCACAATGGACAGGGCATGTTTTCAAAATTTCCAATG